TGTTATTTAGTAATGTATTGTTTAATCACCATGAGTTTGTGTCTTTTGCTGTTTTTTTTCCTGTAGTTGATATCTAGTCTCATAGCATATAGTCAGAAGATACTTAGTACAATTTCAATTTTCTTAAATTTACTGAGGCTTGATTTGTGGTACAAGATGTGGTCTATCCTCGAGAATGTTCCATGTGCACTTGAGAAGAAAGTGTACTCTTCTGTATTTTGATGGAAAGTCCCAAAGATATCAGTTAAGTCTATTTGGTCTAATGTTGCATTTAAGATTTGTGTTCCCTTATTGATTCTCGGTTTTGATGATCTGTCCATTGATGACAGTGGGGTGTTAACATCCCCTACTATTGTTGTATTGCTGCTGATTTCTCCTCCTATGTCTGTTAGTTTGCCTTATGTATTGAGGTGCTCCTATGTTGGGTGCACAGATATTTACAATTGCTATGTCTTCTTGGATTGATCCCTAGATAATTATGTAGTGTCCTTCTTTTTCTCTTATGGTATTCTTTATATTAAAGTCTATTTCGTCTGAAATAAGGATTGACACTCCAGCTTTCTTTTGGTTTTCATTCACATGGAATATTTTACTCCATCCTTTTACTTTCAGTCTGTATGTGTCTCTAGGTCTGAAGTGGGTCTCCTGTAGGCAGTATATATATGGGTCTTATTTTTGTATCCATTCAGTCAGTCTGTATCTTTTGGTTGGTGCATTTAATCCATTTACATTTAAGGTAATCATTGATACACATGTTCCTATTGGCATTTTCTTGATTATTTTGGGTTTGTTTTTGTAAGTCTTTCCTTTCTCTTGTGTTTGCTGGCTATGTAAATCCCTTTAGTATTTCTTGCAAGGTTGGTTTGTTGGTGCTGAATTCTCTTAATTTCTCCTTGTGTGTAAAGCTTTTTTGATTTTTCCGTCAATTTTTAATGAGATCTTTGAAGGTGAGAGTAATTGTGGTTGTAGGATTTTCTCTTTCAGTAATTTAAATATATCCTGCCATTCCCTTCTGGCCTGTAGAGTTTCTGCTGAAAGATTTGCTGTTAATCATATGAGTTTTCTCTTGTATGTTACTTGTTGCTTTTCCCTTGCTGCTTTTAATATTCTTTCTTTGTGCTTAATCTGCATCTTGATGTGTTCTCTTTGGGTTCATCTGGTAGGAGACTCTCTATGCTTCTTGGACTTGATTGACTATTTCCCATGTTGAGGAAATTTTCAACTATAATTTCTTCAAAGATGTTCTCAGTGCCTTTCTTTTTTTCTTCTTCCTCTGGGACCCCAATAACTCAAATATTGGTGTGTTTAATATTGTCCCAAAGGTCTCTGAGGCTTTCCTCAATTCTTTTCATTCCTTTCCCTTTAGTCTGCTCTTCAGCAGTTGTTTCCCCCACTCTATCCTCCAGCTCACTTATCCATTCCTCTGCCTGTTATTCTGCTATTGGTTCCTTCTAGTGTATTTTTAATTTTAGTAATTGTGTTATTCATCTCTGTTTGCTTATTCTTTATTTCTTGTATGTCCTTGGTGATTGTATTAACTGTGTTAAATGCCTCTTGCATTTTCTCCATTCTATTTTCAAGTCTTGGGAGCATCTTTACTCATTATTCTGAGTTCTCTTTCAGGGAAATTACTTATTTCCTCTTTATTTATTTAGTCTTTTGAGTTTCTACCTTGCTCTTTCATTTATGTTGTATTTCTCTGTCTTTTCATCATCATCTTTTTTTTTTTTTTCCTAACTTGGTCCATTTGAGGTCTCCTTTCCCCAGGCTTTAAGGTTGTATTACTTCTTCCTTTTGATTTTTGCGCTTGGAGGGAAATGTTAGTTGGGTGGTTTCTGTTGATTTCTTGTTGGGGTGACTTGTGCCTATGTTCTAGTGGGAGGAGATAAAGTAGGCAATTACAGAAATACTGGGAAATATACACACACTTCCACATATACAGTTATAACCAAAGTGTTCTAAAGAAAAAAGTACAGGAGATTGACTTGGTGAGACAGGGAAACCAGAAGTAATATCAACCAACTGAAAGAAGAGTTAGCTAATGCTCAGTCTGATAATCTGAGCACGAATGGAAGGCCAATTGGGGAATAGAGCATAGAGATCTCAACAATTTAACTTACTTGGTGAAAGCAGAAAGAGAGGGGAAAAAGGGAGAATAAAAAAAGAGAGGAAAAAATAAGAGAAAGGAGGGAAAAGAGAAAAGGGAGGGATGGAGAAGAGAACTAAAAAATAAAAAAGAGAGAGCAAGAAAAGATAAAATAGAAAAGCAAAGATGAATGGACATGTGTGAAAGAGATTTGTATATATATTCAGGAATAGCTACAGCCAGTAAAGAACAGTAGGTAAAGCAGTTGAATATATCCAAATCAAAATCCAAAAAACTCATCAAGAAAAAAGAAAAAAAAAAAGTGAGGAGGAAAAAAGAAAAACCTAAAATGATTTTTTTCCTTGCTTTTTTTTTTTTGACAGAAAACACAGAGGAAAATTCCACAGCACTGCAAAAGGCTAATATGAAGGTGGAAATATATAGGGGGAATAAACCATGTGATTTATATGAAATAAAGGAAACAAAATCTTAAAATGATTTTTTTTTTTAACAAGGAAAACTCCACAGCATTGCAAAAAGCTAATGTGATAGTGGAAATGTGTTGGGGAATAAGCAATGTGATTTATAAGAGGAATCTTAAAATGATTTTTTTTTGTAAATAAGATAAAGAGGAAAACTCCACAACACCGCTAAATGCTAGTGTGAAGGTGGAGATATGTTGGGGGAAAAAATGGTGTGATTTATAAGAGACAAAAAGGAAAAGGGGAAAAAATAAATAAACAGGGTTTTCAAGGTCATAGTCCTTGGTTGTGGAGTCTGCCTCTGTGGATGGGGTTGGGTTAGTGTCCTGTGATGTTTTCCTGGTTGGTGGAGCTCGTGCCTGAGTTCTGGTTGATGGAGTTGGATCTGGTCTTTCTCGAGGGCGGTGCCGTTTCCAGTAGGAGATTTTGGAGTGTCTGTGGGTTAAGTATGCCTTTGGGCAATCCCGGCTTTCGCGGTGTTAGGCGCGTCTATTTTCGCAGCTGCTTCAAAGCGTCTCTCTCAGCATATATGCAGCGCAGCCAGTCCCTACTTGTTCCTGGGATCACCACTGGTGACTCAGTTCCCCCGTCCCACCCTGCGCTGCCGGCCGAGACTTCCTAGGTAGGTGCTTGCATGGATGCTTCTGCGTCCCCGTGACGTGCGGGGGCTTCCCTCAGCCGCCCAAGCCCACCTCTGGGTCGCAGGGCTGTGTGCACTTGACTCGGTCCCCGGGGGCCGCCCTCTGCGTCGCGAGGTTTCTGTGCGCTTGTCTCGTCTCACTGCCTGCGGTCTGTCCCGGGGGTTCTTTGTTCTCCCAGCTGTGCCGGGAGGGTTGCGTGCGCTGCCCGGTTTGTACGCCTCCCCTCTCTGGGCACCCTAGTCCCGCCGTGGGCGCGGGCTGTTGTCTGTCTGCGCGGTCCCTGGGCCTGCCGTCTGTGCTGCTTGCTTCTGGGTTTACCTGCCCGTCACACTGGCCACCCGGGACTGGCTGTGCCGCAAGGGTTGTGTGCGCTGGCTGGCTTTGTAGGCCGCACGCTCCCGGGTCCCAGGCCTGCCGTCTGTTTGAGGCCACAGTCCATGAGCTGTTCACGAGCTGAGAAGTACAGCTTTCTCAGTTTACTGCCCTCCAAGTCCCTGATTTGGAGAAGGCGATGGCACCCCACTGCGGTACTCGTGCCTGGAGAATCCCATGGACGGAGGAGCCTGGTGGGCTGCAGTCCATGGGTCGCAAAGAGTCGGACACGATGGAGCGACTTCACTTTCATTTTCATGCCATGGAGAAGGAAATGGCAACCCACTCCAGCGTTCTTTCCCGGAGAGTCCCAGGGACGGGGGAGCCTGGTGGGCTGCCGTCTATGGGGTCACCCAGAGTCGGACACGACCGAAGCGACTTACCAGCAGCAGCAGCAGCAGAAGTTCCTGATTTTCCAGACTTCGTGGTAGCTCCCCTTTGGGCCTACCTGCGCATGGGAACTTCTGTTTCATGGCTCCCTCCCTCCTTTGGGGCACAAGTTCCTGTCCAGAAGTTGTCTGTCTTTTCCCTTTTATGCCTACCTTCTCTCTCCTACCTCATTTCAGGGAGCTTAGCCTGTCCCCCTGGAGGCCTGGGGTCTTCTGCTGTCGCCTAGAGGTTGCTTTGTAGGAGTCGTTCCATATCTTGATGAGTTTTTTATGTATCTGGGGGGAAGCTGGTATCTCCCCATCTTACTACTCCACCATCTTCTCTGTGCTCCCTCCAGGAGTTTTCCCACTTATCAGCATTTGTCTCAAGAAAACCCTGCCACATGCACAAGGAGACATTAATAAAGTGGTCCACAGACAACTTGATTTAAAGAGCAAAAATTTGGAAAAACTCAAATATCAAAAAATAAGTTTTTCTGTATTCATGCATATAATAAAATACCATATAGCAGTGAAAATTAACTATGTCTACAAGTGTCAACATGAGTTAATCTCAGAAATAAATTGTTGAGTGAAAATAGCAAATCTATCAATATTATTCTCAATACACATGCTACAAAGGTTAAAAGCATATAACACTTAAAATCTATTTGAAATGAAGTTTGCTCTATAAGTTTTATTCAAAGCTATTCAAACTGTTTAGCTGTCAATCATTTAGATTAACGCTATCAAAGTCCTGTGTCTTTACTAAATGACTAAATAACTTCCTATGTCAAGGTGATGCTACCCATGTAGTCCTATGTGGAGATGTTTTCTGAATGATTTTCCTACAGCATGGGAATAAAGGTACTGTCTTGCCTGTAACTATGGTTATGTGAATGTGTATTCCTTCTTGAGACTGAAAACAAGAAACTCAATGTTAACTGAGAACTAAAGAATTAAAAGTGACAGGGGCAGTTAGCACTTTGGTGTCGACCAGAGACATGCTATTTAAATAAAAGGGAAATCAATGTTTTCTATTTCTTTACAGAGTAAAAGTGAGCAAATTACTGTGCGGCATCTGACGTCAGGAAACTGGGAAGTGATAAAGATCCTGGCATATGATGAAATTACACAAAAAATGTGAGTGTTTTTATTCTCTAGTCAAGTTGGAAGTCAGTGTTATTAAATGCAATCTTATCTGCCAGATTTATTTTTGCTTACCATGGTCCTAATCCAAGTAGCCTGGCCATGTGAAAAGCAACCTTTAAGACTCTCCCCCAGCTTCCCCCAGAGAGATGCTTGCACAGACATATTTGCAAAGACACATGCACGCACACACACACAGAGTCACACTCAGAGAGATTGTGAGATACCATGGAAAGAAAGTATGACAACATTTTAAGAAAAGATATGTTTCCCAAATGGATCAAAGTCCTGTTGTTGAATAATAGAAAAGCTCTTGCCTATTCTCTGGCAGTTGGAAAATGCAAGTGAAAAACTCAGTGTTGCAAAAATTGATTGGTACCTGATGTTTGTGTTGTTTTTTTTTCATGGGCAGTTACTTTCTGAGCACCGAGTCATCTCCCAGAGGGAGGCAGCTATACAGGTAAGCACTGTGAGAGGACCTTCCTGCACAGGTCGGTTCCTCAGGGGCCATCCACACCGCATAATCACAAGATGGAGAGATCTGAAGTTGCCTTTTTGGTATGACTAGGAGAGAGCCAACTCAGTATGACAAAACCTCATCTCTGGACCATTATGAGCATAAAGGTTTGGAAGTGGGGTGGAGACCATCTTATTCCTCTTTTATTTTTTCCCTCACTTGTTTTTATCCTTTCAAAATATCTTTTTTTTTTTTTTTTTGAGGCTTGCATCTCTCAATGACACATATCACTAGCATTTCCTTATTTCCCCAATAGCTTTTTGTTGTGCTGTGCCTCATTTAAAGTTTTCAGTATATGAGGCCTTCCCTGATCAAACCAGTCAATCTAAAGGAAATCAGTCCTAAATATTCATTGATTCTGAAGCTGAAGCTCCAATACTTTGGCCACCTGATGTGAAAAACTGACTCATTATAAAAGACCTTGATGTTGGGAAAGATTGAAGTCAGGAGGAGAAGGGGATGACAGAGGATCAGGTTGTTGGATGGCATCACCAACTTGATGGACATGAGTTTGGACAAGCTCTGGGAGTGATGATGGACAAGGAAGCTTGGCATGCTGCAGTCCATGGGATCAAAAAGAGTTGGACAGGACTGAGCAACTGAACTGAACTGAACTGGTGTCTCAGATGGTAAAGAATCCACTTGCAATGCAGGAGACCCAGGTTCATCCCTGGGTAGGAAGATCCCCTAGAGAAGGGAATGGCTACACATTCTGTATTCTTGCCTGGAGAATCCCATAGACAGAGGAGTGGGCTATAGTCCATGGGGTCGCAAAGAGTCAGAAATGACTGAAGGACTAAGCACACATGCAATACTCTACACATGTGATTTATTCCTGAACAAATGAAAGCATTGTGGACCTTTAATAGAATAGATCAAGTGGCAGTTTCTCTCTCCCCACTCTCAGAATGTATAAAATCCATAGATTGCTATTTAAGCCAGGCATGGCCCTTGATTACTAAAATAGAGCTGTGGACGGGAACTATTTTCATCTCTCCAATTTTCCCAGATGGAAAGCTATATTCATAAAAGGGTTTAAGGTCATACCTATTTAGTATTAAAAATGTCTCTTCACTCAGAAAGCTTTCACCAGGGCTTCCCAAGAATGACTTTCATTTTTGCCTGGCAAGCAACTTATTAATTCTAGACTTCATATATCCTTTCTAATTTCCTTTTCACAGATCCATTTTTAAAGTGTCAAAACTGCCATGGCATATTCTCAGTGGAAATTCATCATGTTTGAAGCAGTGTCACCAGTGATTCTTACCAAGTAGCCTAGACTTTCCTTTGAGAGCAAAAATGCATGTTTCAAGTACCCTTACTCACTCTAATTCACCCACACACTATTATTTATGCATAAATCACTGTCATCTGAAGTGAGCCTCTCCTCGTTTTAATCACATATTGCAATATGTCATTTTCACATTCTTTGTTTTTTTCTCTTAGAGTCTGGAACACATGTTCTCAATTCTAATGACTTTCAAAGAAAGAATAGCTATTTATTTAAAGAGACTGATTCTAATTTTAGCTTAGACATCTTGATTAAAGTATTGGTCACTTTCTAGTTCTGGTTACCTAAAGCTTATCTTTCTTTAAACTTATATTGTGGTTAATATTGGCGGTCAAGAACAATCCTTTAGAGAGATAGAAATACTTGACTGATGTTTTACTTCTCTCATTTTGTAAAACTCTTAAAGAAAAATGAGTGTCAGAAAATTACATTTGGCTAAGTTCAGCTAATGGAGCTGCCTCATCCTCCCCTCCTTTTATTAGCCTAAAATGTGATTTGAGTAAAAATGAGTTCTTAGATTTGTGTGCTTGTCCTATGGGCTTCTCAGACAGTAAAGAGTCTGCCTTCAATGCAGGAGATTTGGCCTCGATTCCTGGGTCATGAAGATCCCCTTTGAAGGAAATGGCAACCTCCTCCAGTATTCCTACCTGGACAATTCCATGGACAGAGGAGCCTAGCGGGCTACAATCCATGGGGTCACAAAGAGTCGAACATGACTGAACTAATAACAACTTGTGGGTTTCTGAGGTGGCACCAGAGATACAGAACCTGCCTGCCAATGTAGGACATGTAAGAGGCATGGATTTGATCCCTGCATTGGGAAGATCCCTCAGAGAAGGGCATGGCAACCTACTCCAGGATTCTGGCCTGGAGAATCTCCATGGACAGAGAGCCTGGCAGGCTACAGTCCATGGGGTCACAAAAAGCTGTACACAGCTGAAGCAAATGAGCACTCACACACGTCTCTAGCGACTGAGGCAGAGCAGTGCAACAGTCAGTGGATCTATGACCTGTCCTAGTGTAGAAGACTGGGTTACGACCAAAATATACAACCAATAGATTTTTCTTTACATGGCTCATCAGGTGCCAGTTGACTTGACTATAAGAAAATGTTAGTGTTTAACCCAAAAAACTCAATCATTGTCTTGTCCAGGTCCATAAAAATAATAATTGGTTGATTTAATTTATGGGATTAACAGAGTCAGAATTGCTACCATATTCAGTGTCATAATTTTGTCTCGAAGTGTGCTTTTCTTTATTTTTAGTTATTTCATAATCTAAATAATGAGAAAATACCAATATAAATTTTTAGGGAACTTAGATCTGAAAAATTATATGACACAGTAGAAAGAGAAAAGTTAAATTCTGTGTGTGACTGCCACACACTCATAGTCTGTCTGTGGCGAAAGTTCTGCAATATTGTGACTGAAATTAACCATATACTTGAAAACTGGCTAAAATGGTGAATGTTGTTTTACCACAGTTTAAAAGAAAAAAAAAAGGCTATGATTTATCGTAAGGATGAAACTAACCAATGTATTTAAGTGCCTATTATACTGATCACTTCAGATATAAAGGAAAAGTTTGGTTTATAATGAACCCAAAATGTTTCAAGTGTGAAGTTGTTACTTTATGAAGTATAGTATACTATGTGTTTTATTCCAAAATACAACTGAGAATATTTTGTCCAGCCAAGTTTCAAAAAGTGTATCATTAGCAGTGTTTTTGTCTAGCAGCACAGATAACTTATGATTAATTATAATTTATTAGTTCTTTCAACTAACATTATTGCTAGTAACTATTTATGCTTATCCATGTGGGTAGTTTCTTTTTAGACTTTACAAAGAAATATCTATTAAAATATAACTAAGAATAAGTTATATTGAGTCCTGGGAAAGTCCATTTCTTTAAAGCATATATAACTATATACATGTTATATATGTATAGGTGTTCATAACTTTAATTTTTTTTCTGAGAAGAAAAATGTGTATGTCTTAACATTAGTAATGGAAATTGACTTTGCATTTTTATGATAAGTGATAATTTATAAGGAACTTCAATTTAAGTAATACTGTAACTTCTTTATGTTAATATTTAAATAATGATATCACACGTTCAAGTACCTGGAATAGTAACATTTCTCACTTTCTTTTTCTTTCCCCAGTGCTTCTACTGAAGGCTTATTGAATCGTCAATGTATTTCATGTAATTTTATGAAAGAACAATGTACATATTTTGATGCTAGTTTTAGTCCCATGAATCAACATTTTTTATTACTCTGTAAAGGTAATAGTTGATTTCTGTTAAAATTTATTTTATCAATTTTGTTTGATCAGTATCTATTACTATCAGTAGTAATGATTACCCTCAATCTATGATTTTATATTCCTAGTTTACACAAGTTTTTGTTTAAAAGTAATAAATAAGGGTTTTTTTGTGATATAAATCTTATCCATTACTTTATTTATTTATTTATTTTTTCAGTGTTTTTTTTTCTTTTTTTTTTTCCATTTATTTTTATTAGTTGGAGGCTAATTACTTTACATCATTGCAGTGGTTTTTGTCATACATTGAAATGAACTAGCCATGGATTTACATGTATTCCCCATTACTTTATTTAAAAGACAGAAATTGGGAGTAAGTCAGTATGTATACAGGTACATGATCAATTAGTGCTATTTTATATGAACCTTTTTAAAAAGTGAATAAACGTTTACATTAGCAAAGTCATCCTAGAATAATAAAATAATTTACCTAGACTTTAGGAAAAGCAACACTCTCCTTGTTGAAATAATGGCTTTGTTGTTAAGAAATTTAGAATCTACAAAAATTTAATTCTCTAGGTCTAGCCTTCTTAAATTTTGAGAAAGTGTGTTCACCCCAATTATTTCTTCTATATGATAATAGTATGCTAAGTCTTGCCTAGTGGTATAGTGTGTCTAGGTTACACTAGTAGGAATCATTGTACCTTTAATAGGACACTTTGATGAAATGGGAGATATCCTCTTATAATGCAATGGATTCAGTGTTACAGCTTTAGCTGGTATCTTGTTCAGTCCTGTTTTAAGATACCATGAGGAAAAGAACAATACTTGCTCTTTTTCGTTATTTTTTTCTCTTGACATCTTAAAGAAAGTAATCAAAAAAGAGCTGTACTTGTTTGATGACACCAGAGAAAAACAATTAGCCTCCAAATAGAGTTCATTATAGAAGTGAAGTTTCAAGATAACATCTTAAAGTTACAACTGAATTGTCCAGTGTATTTGAAATAGCTATTCCAGTTAATATATTTTTAAATTAATGTAAGATTAGCTCCAAAATTTAATTTGTCTTGTGGATGAAATATTTCTAATATGCATGCATTCTTTCTTTCTTGGCTGAGTGGTAAATATAATTTAATCTTGGATGAGAGGGTAAGAGGTCACAGGTTTGGAAATCAACTGACAGATCAGTGACTATTCTATTAAAGACTAGAAGACAGTAGGGTGCATTAGATTGACTGAAACAATAGAAATATTGAAGTATATGGCATTTTAGAGAAGGGAGGATCTTTACAATAATCTTGTAAATAGTTTCTTTCCCCATATGTTCTTACTTTTCTGAATAAAATGTGCATAGAAAGGAATGAAATCTAATAATCTGATTTCTATTTCATTATGTTTTAACTATGAAATGCATGTGGAAAAAAAGAATTCTGTCATCTAACCTTCCAATAGTTATTATTTAGATGTCTTTAAAATGTTTCTACATATATTTCTAAAATCCAGGTCCAGGGGTTCCAGTGGTCAGCCTACATAGCACAGACAACCCAGCAAGTAAGTACATGAACACAACAATGCGGAATAGTCATGGTTGGCACCAGTCTTTGATATGATCTTATTCATTCTGAATTTTGTACTCTATAGAACCTTCTTCAAAGGAGCCCTCAGACTGGGGAAAGAGGCATAGGTACCATCAATATGACCTTGTGTGTGTAAGAGAAATAGTAAAACAAATGGGTCGGGCTGCCTTATAATTGGAGTTGGATCTTATCAATGTATGCCTGAAATGGCATATCTTCTGTATCTAAATTGACTGAGGAGTGATTGATGAAGTTCATTTAGGTACGTTTCAGCCTATTGGCCCATTAGGGCTCTCTGGTCCATTCTTTCTTGAACCTCATGTAGATTATTTCTCCAGATCAATGCACTTATTTTAGAAAAAAATATGAAAAATATATTGTTTCATATACTTTATATCCTATTTATTTTAGTTATCCATGACTAGTTTTACATATTCATTTATGTTTTGATATATTTATTAAATTGTCCATCATCTATTGAGTGAAGACTTTATTAGGATATATGACAGAAACTGGGTGTTCATTGCTAGTAAGATGTGGTCAATGTGTTTAAGAACTTTAATAGTAAAGAGTATAACCACAAACATGGTTGAGCTGATCTTAAAAATGAATGGCCAAATTACTTTCTGACTCTCTTTTCCTTATTTTCATCTATCTTTCTTTTCCTTCTTTCATTTAAAATTTTTATTTAATCAATACCCTCATGCTGTAATGATTTATCATAGACTAATATAATCTATTGTGAAAGTTAAAGTCGCTCAGTCATGTCCGATTCTTTGCAACCCCATGGACTATATAGTCCATGGAATTCTCCAGGCCAGAATACTAGAGTGGGTAGTCTTTCCCTTCTCCAGGGGATCTTCCCAACCCAGGGATTGAACCCAGGTCTCCCACAATGCAGGCAAATTTTTTACCAGCTGAGCCACAAGGGAAGCCCAAGAATATTGGAATGGGTAGCCTATCCCTTCTCTAGCGGATCTTCCCAACCCAGGAATTGAACCTAGGTCTCCTGCATTGCAGGTAGATTCTTTACCAACTAAGCTATTGATTATAGGGAAGCCCATAATCTATTGTAATTGAGGCTTATATTTATTAATACATTTACTCCTCAGAACACCTCTGATATTGTTAATTGTATCACCCACTTTTCCAGATGAGGAAATTGAGTCCCAAAGAGGTTAAAAAACTTGGAGAGAGTCAATCTAATATAACAGATAGCACAGGTGGGAATAAAATAAGACAGTCTGACTCCAGAATAGGGTTTATGATCACCACCATAAAACTTATTATATTGTTTTTGTCTCTCTCATGGCATACTTAGTTTTAAGTAGGAGTCTTACTTAAATGCTTTGACTTAAAGGAGAGATGGTATAAAATGTAATGTTGAAGGACAAATACAATTTTGAGAGGACAGAGGAAGACCATTTAAACTTTTCAAATACCACCATATGGAGACATCCAGCCTCATAGAAAAAGACAAAACTTCTAAATAGCTAATGGAGTTTTGTGTGATTTTGGAAATCATTTAGCACACCTTTTAGTTTCTATTTATCAGTGTAAATCCTAAAGAGATTATAGTAAGCATATTAAATCTGTTGAATATTAATACTGAGAGCAACAATAAAGATAATAAGGGCAGTATATTTGATAAAATGGAAAGAAGATTGAATTTCACAGATATAAAAATTAATGTATAAAGTGATTCTGTCACATATCTTTTGTGGGTATAATCTCATAGAATCTATTTCCTTGTAAAAAAAATTAGTAAATGAATTTTCTGTGAGGATGAGATATATTTGCAACACAGGAATTACTTGATAAACAACTATTTGTGTTACATTGCATATTCTGCCAAAATGATGACTTTTTAAAAATTTCCAACGTGAATTTAATTAATTGTATTCTATTGTTAAAAGTCGATGTTGTTGTCTAATAACTTTTGTTACAAATTGTGACACACTTTTGTCTAAGGCAAATCTTTCATATTTAGAAGTAAATTCTGTTAGTTTCAAGATCAAGAAAAAAAAGGGACTGTAAACAGTAATCAGGTGCTTGATTTTATTTTCAAAAGACAACTATTTATTCATATAAAATTTAAATTTGATTGTAATTAAGTCTTTGGGTTAATGAATCTTCAGGTTAATCATTATTGAACTAAGTGAAAAGTGTTAGTCGCTCAGTTAAGTCTGACTCTTTGCAACCCCATGGACTGTAACTCACCAGGCTCCTCTGTCCATTCTCCAGGCAAGAATACTGAAGCAGGTAGCCATTCCTTTCTCCAAGGGATCTTCCCAACCCAAGGATGGAACCTAGGTCTCCTGCATTGCAGGCAGATTCTTTACCATCTGAGTCACCAGGGAAGCCCTTGCTAAATGAATGAATTAGTCATAACTCATTTGGGGACCACACGAAGTAGAATAAAGCATGAAAAGTATATTGAAAAAATTAAAATATATAACAAATATGGAAAACCTTTAAACCCACCAGTTATCCAACAATGCAAAGTAAAACACTACCAAATATTTTTTTCCTAACAAATTAATAATATAAAAAAATTTATATTGCTAATGAGGCTTTTATAACTTTCTGGTAAAAAATATGAAGTACAGTAAATCTTTTGGGAAAAAATAGCCATAAGCATTAAATCTTTTTTATCTATTTACCCTATATTTTTCTTTTTTATTGGTTTATACTGAGGAGATAATTCTAAATAGAGAAAATTATAGACATACTACTGATAATAGTGAAAAAAAACACCCATAATAAAAGGTGGGATTTGTAAATAAACTTTAATGGAGTATTAATTTGTGCTCTGAATATCTTTCATTAGTCTTTTCAGAGCCACTCTTAACTGTTTTTTCTCTCCCATGGTCTCTACCCAAGAAGGATTTTGTTTTGATGACTTAAGTTCTGCTGCTATTTACTGCTAATTGGATTCAGCTAACGCAAATCCTACAGGTGACTGAAGAGAGGCAGAAAAGTGGCTTTGGAGTCTGTATGTCTCCAGCATCATCCCTGTGTAGCCACCCAGGCTGCTATGACTCTTGGGTGGAAGTCTTTCATGCAACCATCTCCAAGTAACTGCTCTCTCTATGAGCCACACACCAAACCATTCTCAGGAGCACTTGGTTGTGTTACTATCCCTTATGATCCCTGTGCCATTTTCCTATATTTGTAAATGGTCCTTTATTAAAATTTCATTAAATTGTTCTAATAAAGTTGCCACTAGTTCCCCACTAGGATTAAAAATAAAAATATGTCTTTAAAAGTCAATTATTCAAAAACTGCTTAAGTTATATTTCTAAATGCTTGTGCAATTCAAATATTTATGCCACTTAAAAAAGTATTTAAAATTATATATAAAAATTCTGGAAGACAACATTTGCAAGCAGTAAAAAGTCTTGCATTTATGTGGCAGCCTTTCAGGTGATTTTTTTGTTCTCTTCTCTTGAGTATTTTCCTAATTTTCTGCAATGAACATATATTACCTTTAAAATGAAAAAGAAACCCTTCATTAAAATGTTCAGTGACTTGGAAAATGTATAAATATGCAAAATTTTACTTAGCATTTCAAAAGTCCTTTGTCTCATATTTCTATGATTCTTTTCCTCTTTTATATTTTCATTTTTCCCCTTAATTGTGCATTTATGTTTTATTTCTTTTACTTTAATTTACTTTAGTCTCTTTCCTTTCTTCTTTTTTCTGCATTGTATATCTTTCTTCTCATCCCTCCTTATACTTCCTTTCTACTTTCTTATCTCTCCCTTTTTCCCTTCTTCCCAATTTTCTGTTCTCACTTTATCCTCTTTTCTTCCTCAGTCCCACAATTATATCATGTCCTAATACTGTCTTTTCTTTATAAAGTTCCACAAAACTTTGTATGAAATATGTTTTCTGAATATATCATGAAAAAATTATTTGCTTCTGAAAATGACTTTATTATCTTTTGTATTTTTTTCTCTGTGACGATGGATTGATTTTTTTCCCATGAGCATGATTTAGAAGTAAAATTTTCAACTACCTCTTATCTCATGTAATTTAATTTTTCCCATTCATTTTTGGTAATAAAAAGGAACCATGATAAATTATTCATATATCGGACTCATATCAATACCTCTAACTCATTTAGTCAACTAGCCATTTTAATACAATAAACTATTTTTCACTATAAAAATCTTTATCCAATAAAATGATCTCTAGTTAAAGGTATAAAGGAAAACTTTAATAGTCTCTAAAAATTTCTGCTTAAGTTAACAAATATCAGATGATTTCTTTTGAATCCAAAATGAATGCTTTTATCTATGATTAGGTTTATTAAGTGCATTTTTATGACAGGTCTTAAACATTATAAGTACTGAATCCTTAATGAAAGTATATAAAGTTGAAATGTTCACATTTGAAATTTTATAGTTGAGTGGGATAGATTCCTTGAAAATATACTATTATTTAATAATCAGAAATTTCTTATATTAAGGGGATAGAAGAAATCTCTGGAATCAGCTAATTTCCCAAATTTGTATTATAGAAAATGATACTTATTTACAGGAGAGGTGGTTTGATGTGTCTGAAATTCATATAGAATTCTCAGTCCAAAGCAAGAATCAGAGAATGTAATGCTTGTAATAGAATATAATAATTTCTCTGGTAGAAGCGGCCCCCATTCAAAAAAAGGGGAAACCAGTGGAAAGCATATCTGGAAGAAAGAATGTGAATGCACAATCATGACACATGAAATATTTATACTTGCAAGATAAAACTTGTTCAATGTGGCTGGAACAAAACATTTAAGATAAAAACAAAAGATATAGGCTACAGGGTAGGTTGGAGCCAGATCGTGAAAGCCTTATATTTCTTCCTAAGGAAATTGTATTTAACAATAAAATACCAAAGATAAGCCATTGACAATAAAAAATAAATATTCTTATTTGGCCACAGAGTAGATGGAAGCAAACATGGCCTCTTAGCTAAAAGAAA